GAATGATGCTTTGTGTCATTGTTGTCATTGATAATCATTTCAAGATAAGAATCGTAGCTTCCGCTATTGTAGAAGATAAAACACTAGATACCTTTTGATAGATGTTAATAATGTTATTTGAAGAAACGGGTATTAATCCTAAAGTTATATTTACTGATTCAGATCCATCCTTGATTGGTGCAATTAAGGAAATACATACTGATACAAAACATTTGTTATGTATCTTCCATATTGACTTGAATCTACGTAAGAAACTTAAGAGTAAATTAGGAGCTCGCTTTGAAGAATTTCGGCGTAAATTTTATGTTTGTAGAAATTCCTTATGTAAGGAATTATTCGAATCTCGATGGGTACAATTAATCGATCAATATCCTGAATCTGCCAAATATATGGTAGAAACGTTTTATATTAATAAAGAATCGTGAGCCACCCCTTAGATACGCAACCTATTTACTGCCAACGCGCAAAGCACATAAAGAATCAAATCCATTAACATGCAAATACATGATAAAGTGGATCGGTCTACTTCTTTATGCGATTTGGTGGTTAAAATTAATGATTATGTTAAGGGAGGAGCATTTTGAAAAGTTCAAAATTGAGCGTAATGCTTTATCAAATGTCAGGTTACCAATGTTATGTAGCAGATTTTTGGATAGGCAGACGGTATTATTAAACAATATTTAACCCCTATTATATTAGGAAAGCAGCGGTCACAGATGAACCAATCGGTATGCTATGATATCAATCATATAATGGACTGGCAACAACTATTAGAAGTAAGTTGATAAAGCCATTCTTTATTATATTTGGCATAGAAGATCAATATTAATAATCCATTTTTTATAGATGGATGTTGATAGGGAGGAGGTTAATATTGGACTGCGAGAACAAGAATAAGATATTCAACAAGTTCTTTTCAAATCGTTGATTAAGAATGTTCAAGAAATTGTTTTGGAAGTATAGCATGTTTGGGCTACAGGAACATCAGGCATCAGACATTATGTGGTATTATTAAACGATGGTACACATTTGTGTACTGCCTTTTATTAATTAATAAAGGCTTAATATGTCACCATTTTTTTCGTATCGTGACTTATTCTCAAATGACGATCTTTCACATTACTCTTATATCATCTCGCTGGTACCTTAAGCCTAATATTGAACAAGAAGCTCTTATACAACAACTATCGGCCATCATATTATGTTCTAATTCGAAAGATCTTCCTATACCTAACAGTACATTTAAGCATTTATTTTCCATTCAATCTACGATATGCAATCCTTATTTAACAACGTTAAAGTCAAACAAGATTATATATGCAGAATTGTTTGGATTATCGAAAAAGATTATTGATTCAGCTATTAAAGTTGATATGTATCAGGAGTTGTCTGATATGTTCAAAACTTTTCTTTATAACATACAGAACAAAATTGATAAAAATCAAACTGGGGATTATATTACTGATGTCAACAATCCAAATATAACTAAACATAAAGGTCATCCACCAAAAAGGTTGAAGTCTAATGTTGAACAATCATCATCTAAAGGTAAACAGGTATTAAAAAACAGCACACATATCAATGTAATAGATAACAATGAAATAAATGCAGAAGGTGAGGGTAGTGGCGATATTATCAATACAAAAGGGCATAAGTGCGGAAAATGTAAAAAATATGGACATTATGCTAAAACTTGCGAAGCTGAGGTGTTGTAATCTTAGGATTTTTTAGGTTCGTTTGGTTTGTTAGTTTGTTGAAGCAATGGTTAGAATTGAATAATGCCATAGTGCAAAATTTAATGATTCATGTAAGTTTTATTTGTTTGGTGAAACATACAAATAAAGAATTTGCTAAAAGTCTTAGTTTTTTGGTAGTAATTTTCAAGCTTCTTTTAACTCGTTAGATTCATTAAAGTTGGGTCTATTTAGTCAGTTTGGTTTACTAAGATTTGTTAGTCTTAATATAAAAAAAAAATCTTTTTCGAAGAAACACGTGATGTGTGTTCACACACACTGTATACAAATAGAAATCATCTATTTATAATTATTTTTGTTAAATTCATTTGATTTAATATCTTGTATTGATTTAATGCATGATAAAAGTATTGTTTCTGATTTACTTTAAGTTATTTTGATTTAATATATCAATAAATTATTTTTGAATCTTGTATTAATTTAATGCATGATGAAAGTATTGTTTCTGAATTACTTTAAGTTGTTTTGATTTAATGCATTGATAAATTATTTTCAAATCTTGTATTGATTTAATATATAATGAAAGTATTGTTTTTGATTTACTTTAAGTATTATATTGATTTAATATATTATCTGATATAATTATTTGAGTTTATTTTTGAAAAATTTATATAAATAAGCTTGATTTTTCCACTTATTAAAAAATAATTTCAACTCAAACTTTATCTTTTTAAAATTAAATTTTATCTTTACAATCAAATTTCTTAACCAAAAAAATCATCATAAGAATAAAAAGAATATAAGTTGAATTTTATCAATCAACCAGCCAATTTTTTAAAAAATAAACTGATTTTTTAATTTCTATAATAAAATCTCAGTCATAAATAATACTAATAAAACACTCTAATAAAAAAATCAGATGAAGAGCTAGAACGTAAGTTGAATTTTATCAATCAACTAGCCAATTTTTCAAATAATAAACTGATTTTTTTGCTTTTTTATAATAGAAAAAAGATAAAAATGTGTTTATACAATATAATTTGAGGATGAGCTAATTGTTTTAGATTGTAAGTTAGTTATAATATACTATTTTTATATTAATATTAAATAACTTTTCAAATTATAAACGTAGATTTAGAAGAAATGCAAAAATGATATGGAAAAAATTCAGCTCTCATCAATATTTTAACAAAAACCAACAGCAAATACTTCAGCTGCAATTGAATTTGAGATTCTTGATAATTCAGACAATTTAGAATTAAGTAGAGCAAAATTGGGGGTTCTAGGGTCAAATTCGAAAAAGATATCCAGAAAGATTTCAATCATAGGCCAGAAACCCTTCTAGCACTATGAATCCATAATATAGAATTCAGGTCTAAAATTTACACCGGCGCTCAATTTCAATATCATACTTCTTGTTATAAAATTTGAGCTTTAGAAGCTAAAATCAACCAAATTGATATATCATTTCTAGCGCGATTTTAAACTCACCAAAGATATCAAAAAAATTATACCATT